GGTACTGATATACCACTTGGGAAGAGGTAGATGCCGGGAAACTGTAGGCCAGTGTTCTTCAACCTAAATTATCTTGGCTTCCATGTCGACTCAGCCTTAAATTGGTACAAGGTACAACCCTGAGAAGTAAAGGCGGCCGGCGTGGTGTTGACCATATCATCCACATTGTGCCGATTGTTCTATAAAATATAGGTCAAGGCTTATATGCCCAATACACCCGAAGGCGTGAAAGAAACCCTTTACTTCCCATATATAACATCCTTAGAATTTCTGTGAGAGAAATAGAAGTTTGAAAGAAACGACTAAGTTTATGACTCTTTAAAAATAATATTCGTTTATTCTTTCGTTGTATCACAAGATATTTACCGGGTAGCCAGATTTTCCTCAGTGTGTTTGGCAACGAAATCATGGTGGACCAAGAAGAATGTGTATCATGAGTGTTCAGTTCACACTGTTGAGTTGAGTTGACATCACATCACTCGGAGCCCTCCAATGCATGATCCGTCCTCATCTTCAGCAGCCAGCACAGAGTTCCAATACTGATGGTACCGGTCACAATTCGGTCACAATCTAGTTATATTTCCATCTTGCCTTTCCTCTGAGTGTAGTCAGCCGGCCAGACCCTCTGGCTTCACCCAGGTGACTCATTCTCTCCAGGCCATAAATGTCTTCTTTCTCTACTGATTCCTTTTGCTTGTTCCTAAAGGGCCTTAACCACATCATCTGCCTTGTTATGAATCAATACACTACCCAGGGACGCAGATCCACCAAACTGTATGCCTGTTCATTACCCACCACGTCGGCGTGGTCTGGAGAAAAGATCCTAAGTATGCTCACTGCTCACCTTTCCAGCGAAGCTTGCCACTCTGCTCGAAGCATCCCTGTCTTCACCTTTTTCAGCATGCTTTCAGAGTCTGTTACAATTACGACATGTGTATGCATCTTGTTCTCTAGCCGCTGCAGTTACCGCCTCCACCTCCATTCTCATGCTAGATGTTGTGTTGTCATATGCTAGGCTGTCTTGCACCAAAGATTTTCCATTTCACTTCTCTTCCCTCTTAGCACCGAACTATCTGTATAGATATTCAGATCACCTAGGTGTGAATTGTTGTGAATCAACTGTTGTACTTCAACCTCCGTGGCACCCGCTGGCCAATCTTTGCACACCCGGCCCAACTTGATCATAACCCTACACAGGTCAGACTTTTCGCTGGTTCTCTGACCCACTCGTCTCCTCGTCCAATGTTCTCCAGCATGCATACTTGTCTTTTGTGTCTTCTGCTTGAGCCATCCACGATGTTTCCCCTTTCAGCCTCTGACCCTTGCCTGCAGTCAAAGCTTCATACAGAGAGTGTTCCCTGTCTGCAGCTACTCTGAGGTATGACTTAGCCTGCAGCACCTTTTAGCCTATATGTAATAGTCGGCAATGCAAGGATCTATCCCGTGCACACAATCAGGGTGTCTCTTGTACAACCCAGGATCAGCCGCATAGCTTCATTCTGTATGTGCTCCAGTTTCTCTAGCTGACTCTTCGAGACAGTGAGTAACCCCTATCCATAACCAATCACTGAGATGATTAAGTGCTAGTAAAGTGTGAACAGTATTCTCTGCTCCATATCCATCGCTGCCCTAATCTTTAGTGCATTTAGACTTTTTTGAGCCCATGTCACAACTCCCTCTATGTGATTCCTAAAAAACAAACTTCTGTCAAAGGTGATTTCCAGGTACCGCAGTCTGCTGTCGTTTTTGATGTTCCTGCCATTTATTTTGAGTCTGGGAACATCAGCTCTAACAATCCAGTTGTTCAAAGAACACAACAGGACGGTTACCTTTTCTGTGTTGATTACAGCACTCATCTCGGTACACCAGTCGATCACCTTATCTACTGTTGCCTGTAACTCTTCAGCTATTTGATTGCGATCGTCTGCAAAAGTCAATATTCTACTCCAAGTGTTTCCAGGCAGACAATCTTGCTCGTAAAAACATTTAACAGAGTTCACAGAAATATTCCTGAACATTTTAGGACCCAAACGTGCCAGTTCCGGAATTGAAGGAGAGGGAAACGTTTAAGAATATGCGTCGTATGTGATTTCAACATATTTAAATCAGCTCGTGTAGGCATACAATAACAACACGTATATTGCTGGTCGGAATATACGACCTTAGCGTGTTCGTGTATCCTTACAGTTTTCTTAATGATCATTCAGAACTAAAGTCAACAGTTCCCACATAATCCGGCTTTTTCGTCTAGAAAAGATTGGTTTTATATTCAAAGGAAAATAGATCTGGAAAGCCACTGGCATCACGAACAAGAAATTTCATAAATAAATATAGAAAGACATGTAATGTACACAAATCCTGGTTCGTGGATACACGTTTAAAGTGTCATACCAGGTTGTAATTTTTTTTTCTCCTAGTTTGGCAATAACATCCAATGAATGAGTCACATAAGATAATCCGGGTATGAGGGTAAGTGTACAAGACGCTTAAACACGATTGCAGTTGCTTCTATTAAGACCAGTGATATATTTACTCTGTATTTCTAGCCCAGGGATAAAAAGACGGGTGCTGTATTGTGGTGATCTTGTTTGCATTACCGCTGTAACATTGTAAGCTTTGCGAAAGTTTACACATTCGGCAGACACGAAGATGACGTTCTGTATGGTTGCGTATGTCCGCATACCAAGCCTAACTTGCGAACATGCAAATTATTTAGAATTCACATGTCATCTTCGCAAGAAAAGTCTGCTGAAATGGATTTCTGGCATTTTTTACAACCAGTGTAGAGGGATTATTTCATTCCTTTCTTTCTTGTTATCTTTACTTTTTGAGGTGTCCATAATATACTAATTGTTTTCCTGTCTATATTAACTTTTCTTCTTCTATCTTCTTCTGGCGTCTCATTGATACCAGGTTGTATCCCACTGACGTGATTTTCTGAATTTATCTTGCGATATTTTGGTGGCTAAGGTAGTGGATGTATTCATCTTTTTTGCAGGTTTCAGCAACACCATTTATCCATCTCTAACTTGGTCTTTCTCTCGCCTTCATCCCCGACGAGTTGTCTGCATCGGCACTCATAGAAGGAAGTAGAAAGATAGATATGCGTGCCAATCAATACATTATCTGTTTAAAAAAAAATATAAATAATTTTTCTACAGCCTCAATGGTCCCCACTCTGTTTATTACATAAAATTATGTACACATATTCTAAGAATAAAATGCACCAAGAAGAATAGAAAAATTGATGTCATAAAAGACTTGGATAAACATCAAAGAAGATTGACTCGTAAAGAACATCACGTCTCGAAATGGAAATATTTTGGCCACATAAAAACACAGATAAAATAATAAATTGAAACAGAGATGTTATTTGGAAACATTTAACCTGGCCTAGCTGCCCAAATTGTTAATGTGAGTAACATACATTAAAATTGTGACGAGAGTCGCACGGAGAAGAGATTGAAGCTCATCGCCTAATGCCTCCAAAGACAGTCGTGGATGTAACTATCCACTACTGCCAACCTCTCTCTGCCTCCTCCAGCTGCGCAAAGATTCACATCGTCTATCATAATTATAACCCAAATCAAAGCAGTATGTGAAACAATACAAATTACATATCGGTCATATAAATAAATACGCATTACGCGATATATAAATATACAATAGCAAACACACACACACACACACACACACACACACACACACACACACACAAACACACACACACACACACATATATATATATATATATATATATATATATATATATATATATATATATATATATATTCTGAGAAATTATTTAACACCATATATCTCCATTAAAACCCCGAGGGTTAAACATGATATTGTTGACAAATCACTACTTTTGCTGCTACTGCTGCTGCCATTACTGCTACTGCTGCTGCTGCTACTACTATTACTTCTTACACCATCTATCTTTATTGTCTTTATTTACCACTTTGTGATGTAGAACGGGTTGTATGGGCGTGAGGTGGTGGTGGGGTGTGTGTGTGTGTGTGTGTGTGTGTGGGGGGGGGGGAGGGGGGTCATGAACTTGAACATTTAAGGTCACGAAGCTAGTGTAATCACTTCGACCTGTTCATGTTAGCAGTATTGTTGTTGTTGCCCTAGACATATTTCTTTTTTGAATCCCCGCCGAGAATCGTACCCACCAGCATGAGCGCCCAGAGTGCTAATCAATTGGCCAGCTCTCCTCAAAAGACTAATTTAAAAAAAAAATATAAAAATAAACTGGCGATCAGCTTGTTTAATCCAGAATTATGTCGACAGACGAAAATGCTCGTTGTATTTGTATTTCCTTAATTTTAATAAATTGTTCTTATAGTACCGCACCTGACGAGACATAGTGAAGAACGTCAGGCAATAAATTGTGCAGTTTTCTTTGCTCAAATAGACATATTAGTTGCATGTCTCCCAGTGTGGGTTCCCGGCCTCCATACTGGAAATCAAAGAAAAGACTCAATGCCATCCTAAGAAGCATGTCGTAGCTGACGACTAATTAGACGCGTTTCCTTGGAATTTGGAGTGCATCTACTCGAGAGGCAAAGAGCCAACAGTCTGAATATTTACTGATAAACTAGATCTGTAAAACGGAGGAGCACTCACAACTTAAATTCTAGATCAAGACCAAAGTCCAGAAAAAAAACGAACAACCAGATTCCCTTCCCCCCCCCCCCCTTTTTTCATCGTATTTTACAGCCTGTGAATTCTAAAAAAGAAGAGGTTGGATGTCATGGACATACGTGCAGTCCCCAACCCGTCCACAAGATGAGAATCCCTGTTTTTTTTTTCCACTTAAATATTTAAAGATTCCCCACTTGTACCCGTAACTATACAAGAAGACTGTCAGGTGTCTAAGCTGGTTGTGTTGGCAACCAACGATTTTAAGTTCCGGGTTTGTTTCCTCGTGCGGTCTTCCCCTGACGCTTCTGTAGATTTAAGATACCATCCGTTTCAACCCTTGTATGCTGTAACTAGGATTTAAAACTTTCATCATTAATTCAGGTAAGGGTTGTTTTATTTGTTTTCTTTTCAAGTTTTTACAGGAAAAAATTTATTTATATCCATGTTTTTATCTTAGTCTTCGCAATTTGAACTCAGAGGTGGCTGCTAAAGATGGGGACGCAGCGCTTCTGGGTAAATTTCCCCGGGTTGTGATGTGTGTTTTTATTTCAGCTAAACGCATTGTCTTATTCATAGAGAGCTGAAAAGTTTTTTTTAACTAAAAATATATCTAATTTATACGTATTTTAATAACTCTACTGAGTTAATATTTACTCTAATAACTGTACCGAGTGTTTAATTTTTTTCTAAAGTTGTACCGAGTGTTTTACTTTTCGAATACTTATACCACTTGTTTACGTCTCTACTAATGCCAGCAATCTTACCTAAACAGTTAACAGACAAAAAGTTGTGTATCCTTTACAGGACGTCACAGAACCAACGCCAAAATTTGTTTGGCTGTTGTGGTTTTTCTTGGCACATTATAGGTTCAGTAGTTTGCCTTTGCAAACGGTCAGCTCTCGGTACCACTGTCGAACCTAACGCAAGACAAATCATCCGCACCCCGACATTACAAAGCCTTGTCTTGCTCTGTTTTTGTTGTTCCCCCCGAAAGTGTCCAAACACATTCCCGTCAAAAAAATTTGATATGTAGATTAACTATAGCGATGTCTGAGTGAAATTTCTCCCCGAAAACCTACATATATTACCTTTTGAATTAATCAAGTAACAGAAAGTATTGTGAACGGCACTCATAGAAAGAAGTAGAAAGATAGAAGAACACAGAGTGGACAACCATTCCTTAATTTCAGCACTTGGAATTGGCCTATTATATTCTCTTTTTCCCCCTCAAAGATTGGCATAGAAGAATATTAGAGTTTCACTGTATTCTGGAAAGTAATGGCTCGGCATGGAGTTAGCTCATATCCCGCACTTGTACCCACAATGTTAGTGGCAGCACTTCTGTGTCCTTGGACTTAGAATTAAAGTGAACAGGGCCTATCGTCAGATGTACAGGCCATCATCAACATGCAGATGGTCTTTTGCAGAATTTCGCTCTCATCACGGTCTGCGTGAAAGAAACTCGGTCTCTCGCCAGCTCATCGCCTCGTGTACTTTCATATTCAAGGAGTACTATGACTTTTGCTATTATTTTCTTCCAACCCGCCATGGCGCTTGATGTGATCAAAATATTTTGGCTTCCGAGACAGAATGCTGTTTATTAGCCAATCTTCCTTCTTGCTTGCTGTACCCCACCAGGACATCACACTAACGATAAACACCCGGTGACACAAAGTGCCACCATGCTGATGAGGATCACCCGTGGAGAGGTCTCAGAAACACCTTATGGCAGGGCCCCTGGCAAAAGCCAGGGTGGGGCTTCAAATAACGAAAAATTGTATCCCACCAGAGGATGACTGTTATCAATCTTCCTTGATGTTCAAAGAAAAATAAATATATAGGTAGAGATAAATAATTCAAGAAACAAACAGACAAATAGGCAAACAGACAAACATAGACCCAAATCAACTAATTATGTGCCGCCTTCACATTGAAGATCGTCTGTAGTGGATCTGCAACTCTCATTGTTTCTCGCCCTGGCTGTACTAGCTCTCTCTCTCTCCGAGTTTTTTTGTTATGAATATTCGAGTTATCCCCTCTTACTTTGGTGTCCACCTATTGCTTCATTGCCGCCATCTTTTCAAACACAGTATAGCTTTTTTAAAAATACAAATTTCTTTCAAATGTGATCCAAATATTTTACTCGCCTCTTTTTAAAATTTTATTTATTTCTGCAGTTCATTTTTTTATTTTTATTTACAGTCAAACCAGATCCTTTGTTTTTTATTGTCATTGTTTGCTTGTAAAACGACTTATAATTTTGTATGTTTACATTTCCGGAGACTAAATTCCAATTTTCTAGTTGTTTTTTTTTTTTCGCTGTCCAAGTTTCTGCACCATACAGCAGGGTTCAGTATTCGTAACATTTTTTGTGTTTAGTCATCTCCTTGTGAGATGCAGTTTTTCGTTATTTAAAGCCCTACTCTGGCTCTTGCCAGGGGCCGCAATAAAGCCCGGCCATAAATATTGTCTAATAGCTGAACGCGGTTTCTTGGACCTCTCAACGGGTGATCCTTATCCACATTGGTGGTAGTTTGTGTTATCAGGTGTTTATCGCTTGTGGGATGTCCTGGTGGGGTAAAAGAAGATAGATAGATAGATTCAAAACATTTGATCATTTCCAATAGTATTGTATTGGTCATCACTATAGTTGTCAATAACTGTTAACATTTTGTTTAGAATATTTTAACCATTTTTATTCTTTACTTATAAAATAACTACTGGACGTAAATTTGCCTAGAAAGACCACACAACAGCCAGGGGCTCTTGGGGTTGGTTCTGAAACGTCCTGTAAAGGATACGCAACTAACTAACTTATAATAAAAATGTGTGTAACCTATCTTGCCATTTCAGTGTTTCAAAGGGACTCTGTACACCATCATCAGTAGCTTCAGGAACTAGCGTTGTCCCCTTGTGGGATGCAATTTTTAGTGATTTTAAAGCCCCACTCTGGCTTTTGCCTTGAGCCCTAAATATAGCCGGGCTTTAAATTTGGCATAAGGGCTGAACGGGGTTTGCGGGACCTCACCACGGGTGATCATCGTCCGCATGGTGGCACTGTATGTCATCGGGTGTTTATAGCTTGTGTGATGTCCTGTTGGGGCACCACTTACCTACTTACCTATATTATGCAGCAGGTCCTTTGCAGAACGTCTTTCTCATCACGGTCTGCCCGAATGAGACTCGGTCTCTCGCCAGCTTTCCCGCCTCGTGCACTTTCATATCCAAGGAGTCACTTATATCCTGTGCTCATCGTCATGTTGGTCGGCCCCTGCCTCAACTTGGTGGTACCATGCTTTTTGCTCTGTTGTAGTACCGTTGGGCTTAAGGCCGTCATCACAACTACCCTTACTTATCTGTCAGCATTTTCCTCCCTAGTTCGTGTTTATGATCTGCGTGGCTAGGGAGACTCACCATCAGATTTTTTAGTTTCGTTTTTGGCTTCCATAATGAGCTTCTTTGGATGATAATGTGACAGTTTCCCCTTGCTTTCCACAACCACATGGCTTTAGACTATGCAACCTTTTAGACTGACAGGGCAGAATGCTGTCAGTATTCTACAATTGTGGATTCACAATGTACGAAAGACAAACTTAAAGAAAACAACCTTTTCCAGGGGGTGCCTAGTTGGTCATGCGTCTTAGCACACTAGTCTCTGCAGCGGGACGCTGTTGTCATTTTAAGGTGGCAAGTTCGATTCCTGGCATAGTGACTATAGCTTTCGAGTTCTAAGTTGTCTAGTGTGTCCTTCGGTCTTTCTGCTTCTTTCTATGAGTGCCAATCAATACATGACCTTTTCTTTATTATATGTTATTAATCACCTCTTGACCTATATTTCACCGCTATCATCATCTGTTGTTACTTGTCCAGAATAGGAGAAATACATTATTTCATCCACGCATATAAACTGTAAAATAAAACAGAGACAATCAGACAGACATACAGACTGAGATACAGACAGACAGACAGACAGACAGACAGACAGACAGACAGACAGACAGAGATACAGACAGAGATACAGACAGAGATACAGACAGAGAGACAGACAGACAGACAGAGAGACAGACAGACAGACAGACAGACAGACAGACAGACAGACAGACAGGCAGACAGACAGGCAGACAGACAGACAGACAGGCAGACAGACAGGCAGGCAGGCAGACAGACAGGCAGACAGGCAGACAGGCAGGCAGGCAGGCAGACAGGCAGGCAGGCAGGCAGGCAGGCAGGCAGACAGGCAGACAGGCAGACAGACAGACAGACAGGACAAGACAGCAGGCAGACAGACAGACAGACAGACAGACAGACAGACAGACAGACAGACAGACAGACAGACAGACAGACAGACAGACAGACAGACAGACAGACAAGACAGACAGACAGACAGACAGACAGACAGACAGACAGACAAGACAGACAGACAGACAGACAGACAGACAGACAGACAGACAGACAGACAGACAGACAGAGACAGATAGATAGACAGATAGATAGATAGATAGAATAGATAAGATAGATAGATAGATAGATAGATAGATAGAAAGATAGATATAGATAGATAGATAGGATAGATAGTATAGATAGATATAGATAGATAATAGATAGATAGATAGATAGATAGATAGATAGATAGATAGATATATAGATAGATAGATAGATAGATAGATAGATAGATAGATAGATAGATAGATAGATAGATAGATAGATAGATAGATAGATAGATAGATAGATAGATAGATAGATAGATAGATAGATAGATAGATAGATAGATAGATAGATAGATAGATAGATAGATAGATAGATAGATAGATAGATAGATAGATAGATAGATGTAACTCTGTATTCTCTACCAGGCTTTGTGAGACGCCATGACGCTACAGGAAGTTCGGATCGCATCTGTGCTGAAGCTTCTGTTTATTTTCTGGACATGCGCAGCAAGTAACACTGGTGCACAAATTATAGACAAAGGTCAGTAGCTCAGTGATTTAGTTTTATGTGGGTAATATAGCTGCTGTTGCTGCAACAACAGCAACAACTGCTAATAGTGCTGCTATTACTACAACAACTACTGCTACTAAATCTATCACTATTACTGCAGCAGCAGCAGAAACAAAACACACAAAAACAACAACAACAACAATAACAACAACTACTACTACTACTACTACCTTTAATTTAATACTACTACTATTTTTGCTAATGCTACCACTGACACAACAGCAGCAACAACAATAACAACAAAAACAACAAATAGTTTAACATTGAACACAGCGGTCTGAGGTATTAACAACGGATCAACAACATGGCAAACAGGTAGTAACTCATAAGTGCTCTGTTCTTCTTATAACTCAAGTCTAAGTCCGAAGAAGCTCAGCACGGTGCACAGGCTCTGTAGCACCAGCGAGGATCCTGAAATTTTTTTGGTAGATTTTTATTTCTAGATTTTGCTCGGCCAGCGCTTTTAGGCTACTCTTTTCAAGGGATTTTTTACGTGCGCAACCATGCACATGGGCGTCCGATATCACTACCCAGAAAGCAGGGGGAATTACTAAAAGTCCAAGTCCCAAAAAAAAAAAAAAAAAGCCACAGCCCTTACCGGGGATTGAACCCGGAACCCTTAGCACTCGAGACGGACACAATTCTTCGAGGCAACGCAGCCCCACATTGAACAAAGAAGACACAAACAAAAGGTGGCAGAATTTATTGCCTGGCATATTTTGCTGTATCTCGTCAGGTGCATACTACAGAAACAATTGATTAAAATAAAGGGGGCCGGGGGGGGGGGGGGTTTAGTGGAACCGAACTCTTCGAACTGAAACACAAAATCGACTACACTCAAAACCGTCTGTTTCACTAAGGTAAAGAGCATGTCCTTTTGTCTGCATAATTCTGGACTAAACCGGATGATAGCTAATACTTCTGCAGGTATTTACGGTTGGCCGCACAGTAAATAATTCGAAAAGCAACATACTTGTTTACAATCTGCCCGGAATTTAGAATATGTGATAATTGCTAATGATGGATTTCGTCGATCTGTCAACTGATCGTTGTTGTTGTTGAGTTGCTAGCGTTGTGCGTTGATTTTACTGCAAATAGTGGAATATGTTGAGCAACCTGTTTCTTCAGTCGATCAGTTTTGCCTACATATGCAGCGTTACAGGTGCATTTATATTGGTGAACACAGTTTGATTAGCAACAACAACAACAACAACAACAACTACTACTACTACTACTACTACTACTACTACTATAACTACTACTACTACTACTACTACTATTACTACTACTACTACTACTACTACTACTACTACTACTACTACTACTACTACTACTACTACTACTACTACTACTATAACTACTGCTACTACTACTACTACTACTACTACTACTACTACTACTACTACTACTACTACTACTACTATAACTACTACTACTACTACTACTACTATTACTACTACTACTACTACTACTACTACTACTACTACTACTACTACTACTACTGCAACTGCCACTGTTGCTAAGGCTCCTGCTGTCACCACAACCACTGCTGCTGCTGCTGCTACTACTACTACTACTACTACTACTACTACTGCTGCTGCTGCTGCTGCTGCTGCTACTACTACTACTACTACTACTACTACTACTGCAACTGCCACTGTTGCTAAGGCTCCTGCTGTCACCACAACCACTGCTGCTGCTGCTGCTACTACTACTCCAACTAGCAATTGTAATAATATACTTGAAATAGCATGACACATCTATACAAATACTCCCCCCCCCCCAAAAAAAAAAGAACATCATTTTCAGTTTCCCCTCGAGTATTTGCTTTTTGGTATGCCCCTGTACGTATGTGTGTGTATGTGTATAGGTATGTGTAGTCTCAAGCTGTGTATGGTTACAGTATGTGTATGTTATACTATAATAGTGCATGCATACACTTGTCATCTATCATCCCTTGTCCGCTCAGTTCTACAAGGTAGCTATAGTGTTGCCGTCACAGTTGACCTAATATAACTTCCCCGGGAGCTATTTATTTTGTGTCAATCACTGCCTGTATTATCCCACTTGTGTGGTGTAGGCAGGAATTGTTTGAGCCTGAGGATATACGGCCGCATGGCCAGTGCTGTCGCCACGACTGTGCAGGTGAGGATTTTATTTTGCCCTTGACAGACAAAAAAAAAAAAAAATACCTATCCTTACCGAGGATCCAAACCCGGGCACCCCGCTTGAAGGTCAAGTGTTCTAACCGTTTGGCCAGCCGCTTCCCATGGAGCTATTTACCGCTAGTCATAATTCGCTGTACCTCGTCAGGTTCGTTGCTACAGATCTGCATCAGCCTATAATGAAGCACAGGTGAATACATTTCACTGAAATATAAAATGATTTCTCTTACGTTGTTCGTCTAATCGCCGGAAGTTCTCAATAGTCACATGACTGAAAATTACAGGGAACTCCTTCTGTTTACATACAGCGATATTGTTCATTTTTATGATTAAAGCTTCAGCTAGTCTAGTATAATATTTGATGATCGACTGTTATTTCCTAAGAACAATGTAAGAGACGCTGCGACAGCGTAATGTCCTTCTACAAACAGCACGGTTTTAGATGGAACGATGTGTACAGCGATTGTCTGGATAAATGTGTGGGAACAGCACAACCACTGCCATGTAAGTTCTTTTTTTTTAAATCGCATAACAAATGTGGCGATACCTCACAACCACTATCATGTAAGTTCTGTGTCACATAACACATGTGGCGATACCTCACAACCACTACCATGTAAGTTCTTTGTCACATAACACATGTGGGGATACCTCACAACCACTACCATGTAAGTTCTGTGTCACATAACAAATGTGGGAGTACCTCACAACCAGTACCATGTTAGTTCTGTGTTACATAACAAATGTAGGGGTACCTTACAATCACTGCCATATAAGTTCTGTGTTACATAACAAATGTGGGGGTACCTTACAATCACTGCCATATAAGTTTTGTGTTACATAACAAATGTGCGGGGGGGGGGGGGGGGGGGGGAGGTACCTCACAACCACTGTCATGTAAGTTCTTTGTCACTGATAGTTTCATTATTCACTCGATCTCGGATGGTTTGGTTGGTGGACACTTAAAATAAATTTCCGGTAATGATAACGCCAACTCCTGGATAGTGCAGACAAGCTTCAATTCTTGTCGTTGTTTCTTTTTTGAGTTTCCAGACGATAATGTTATGTTGAGGCATGAGAGTTACTGCCCATTGCGATGGCGAGTATGACTAGCAAGACCGGCCAGCGTTAAGAAAAGTCTTCAACAATTTGAACATAGGATTTCATGGGCGTTGTTACTATCATTTGTACTTAGTGAGTTTCTTCTCAGACGCTCTGCTCTCATTCTTTTAGTAATTATTTCTTCCTTCATTATTATTCCATTCATGATTAGTTCCCCCTCCCCTTTCCCCCCATGCAACCCGGTCCATACCATAACATATCGCAAATTCCTCCTAAATACCCGTATCACTTATGCCCCAAGGCTGGCCTCGACAACTTTCACCCATCTGTAATTCATCGTAGAGGATGTCTTTAGAGACACTTCCATCCTCAATTCTTCAGGTGTGACCCAGCCACTTGAGCCTTCGTAGACAGAGCATTGAGAAAACCGCTATAATACCTTCATTTTTAAAACCTAAGTGTTTGCCACCTAATAGCTTTTATCTTGTTCTTGTTTCTTGTTCTGTTTGACAGAAATTAAAAGGAGGATGGCCAAAGCAATGCAAAGATTGAACAGCCTTAAAAGTCTATGGTTAAGCAACAGCAAGGAGATCAAAATTAGAATTTTGAGAGCATTCATCTTCGCTGTGGCTACATATGGATGTGAGTCGTGGACTATCTCTCAGTCCTTAAGAAAGAGAATAGTGGCTTTTGAGCTGAGATGCTATAGAAAAATTCTCAGAATATCTTGGACAAAGAAGAGGAGAAATATTGACATCTTAAAAGATCTAAACATCAAGGAAGATTTGCTAATAAACAGCATCCTTTCTCGAAAGCTGAAATATTTTGGTCATATCAAGCGCCACGACGGATTGAAAGGAGGGGCAAGGGCCGACCGACAGGAAGATAAGGACAAGATACAAGTGACTCCTTGAGTATGAAAGTAGAAGAGGCGAGAGAACTGGCGAGAGACCGAGTTTCTTTTCAGGCAGACTGTGATGAGAGCGACGTTCTGCCAAGGACCTGCTACATGATGATGATGATGTTTCTTGTTCTGACGTTTGTGTGTGCAAGTAAAATTAGGAATTTAAGAACAAAACATCTGATTTATCTAGACAACGAGTCGACATCCCAGCATTCAGGACAAACGCATACCAGCTTCTGACCTCTCCATAACAGCCAGCCCACCGGCTACAACAAGGAGAGGATAGTGTAAACTCTCCTTCCTCTTTCCCCCATCTTATCAGACTTATGACTTACTGGGCACATAGGGCTAGAACTGCATTTTATAGACCACTCGGTGGATGATGTCGTTAACATACGTCGGCCGCCTTTACTTCCATCTCTTTACCTGGTAGAGATTTAAGGCTGGGTAGACCTGGGAGCCAAGGTTATTTAAAAAAAAAACCACCGGCATGGTCGTCTTTTTCTTCTTCTTTCGTTCGCCTAAAATAAGTTGTCTATATCAGCAGTTTTGTCTCTTGTATAAATTTCACTGTCGTTGTTAGTTCATTCAGTGGTCCATAGAGTTTACGTTCCACTGTTGTTCTTTCTGGCCAAAAGGTTTGCCTTAATGTGTCAAAATCGGTGCAGTCCTGGAGTACATGCTCTGCTGTTTGGGGCACATTTCCACAGGTGCCCATGGCTGATACACCTATCTTGAATTTTGTGTACATGTGCGGCATGGTCGTCTCCGTCAAGATCAGAACCGACGACCTTCGGATCCGCATGGATCGTCTAGCCACTACACCACGGCGGCTCCCTCGTGAATAGAAGACTTCTAGAATATTTAGCGCGCAACAAAATTAATCGTTTACAAACATTTAAAAAATGGAGAGAAAAAAAGCTACAAGCATCGCGGGTAATTCTCATTAGATGACCGAACCATTTCAGTCTTGATGCTCGTTAATATCAGTGAATTTCAGGTCAAACTGCAGAAAAGTTGGGATGACAAGAAAAGGGGAGAAATAACTCCATGTTTGTTGTATTTTCTAGTTGGAGTTGCTAGACTTAACGAGGGGACTACAGCTACAACGGCAACAACATCTACGTCAACAACACCACCTACAACAACAACACTAACAACAACAACAACACCAACAACATCTACAACACCAACAACTACTACAACAACACCAACAACTACTACTACAACACCAACAACATCTGCGTCAACAACACCACCTACAACAACAACACTAACAACAATAACAACACCAACAACATCTACAACACCAACAACTACTACAACAACACCAACAACTACTACAACAACGCCAACAACTACTACAACAACGCCAACAACTACTACAACAACACCAACTACTACTACAACACCAACAACTTCGACAACAACACCAACAACTTCGACAACAACACCAACAACTTCGACAACAACACCAACTACTACTACTACCACTACACCAACAACTACTACAACAACACCAACAACTTCGACAACAACACCAACTACTACTACAACAACACCAACTACTACTACTACCACTACACCAACAACTACTACAACAACACCAACAACTTCGACAACAACACCAACAACTTCGACAACAACACCAACTACTACTACTACTACTACTACTACTACAACAACACCAACAACTACTACAACAACAGCCATGCCTACAATTACCACAACGTTGCCTACAACAACGACAAGTATTCCAACATCTGCGACATCAAGACCAACAGATGATGGTAAGATGTTTTTATCACCGTCTTACTAGTAACAACATCTTCAGCATCATAATCGACATCATAACCCCTCCAACAACTTCATCACCATCATTGTTTCATCCTTCGTCATCTTAGCAGTGAAGCATGATTAAAAAAAATTAGCATCGATGAAGATTCAAACCTTGAACATCAAGCAAAGGGTAAGAGCTCTTACCACTGCTTTGGCCCTGTCGGCATCTTATCTTTCCCATGATCTTGTTTCTTGTATAAGTGTAATGTGAGGAAGAATTCATCAACCGTGACTAGCATGTATTTTCATGTTATCATTGTTTCCGATTGTCCAATGTGTATTGTGTTTGGCGCAGATTATATTTGTATGTCGGCGTGAAGCTGACCACATCACCCGTCTTGTGCCGTTTGGTCAAATATAGATCTAGCCCTATATGCCCTATACGCCTAAAAGGCGTGGAAAAGGGTCCTTTACCTTTTTCTTATATCTGTATGTTTTAGCGCGCGGCTATGCTGAAATTGTACAATCAAATTACTGCAGGGCGCGACTATGTACCATCAACTCTCTGCAATGTGTGACTGTGTTGAACTGTGTACCATCAACTCTCTGCAATGTGTGACTGTGTTGAACTGTGTATCATCAACTATCTGCAATGTGTGACTGTGTTGAACTGTGTACCATCAACTATCTGCAATGTGTGACTGTGTTGCACTGTGTACCATCAACTGTCTGCAATGTGTGACTGTGTTGAACTGTGTACCATCAACTATCCGCAATGTGTGACTGCATTGAACTGTGTACCATCAACTGTCTGCAATGTGTGACTGTGTTGCACTGTGTACCATCAACTGTCTGCAATGTGTGACTGTGTTGAACTGTGTACCATCAACTATCTGCAATGTGTGACTGTGTTGCACTGTGTACCATCAACTGTCTGCAATGTGTGACTGTGTTGAACTGTGTACCATCAACTGTCTGCAATGTGTGATTGTGTTGAACTGTGTATCATCAACTCTCTGCACTGTGTGACTGTGTTGAATTGTGTACCACCAACTCTCTGCACTGTGTCGAACTATGTACCATCAGCTCTCTTCTGCGTGTGACTCTGTTGAGCGGTGTACCATCAACTCTCTGCACTGTGTGACTGTGTTGAACGGTGTACCATCAACTTTCTGCAATGTGTGACTGTGTTGAATGGTACCACCATCAATTCTCTGTAGTATGCGGAACACAGAGACCAGGCCTCCACCAGCACAGACAACGGGTCGTTGGTGGCTTTACGGCCGACGAGTGTGAGTACCCTTGGGTAGTCCTGGTCATCGCCCTCAACAGCATTTGTGGAGGTTCGATCCTAGACTCGCGGCACATCATGACGGCTGCCCACTGTGTCAAAGACAAGTAGGTTTTTCTTTTTATTTGTGTTAATTATAATGATTATTGTTGCTGCCGTTGTTTAACTTCTCCTCCTCCTCCGCCTTCTCTTCCCCCTATTCCCTTTCTTATCAATGTGCCGTCGTGGCACAGGAGCGCCAGAATCTAGGGTCTTAAGTACCATGGGCCGCACTTCAATTTTCAAAGGATCAAGACCCCCCCCCCCCCCACCCCTAAGAAAATTTGCAAGTGGCCACCCGCGTCACCAAGATACCACGTATATTTGGTCACTTTCTAAGCATAAATTGACATGTCATATTATTTAAATATATTTTTTGCCATTCAGCCTATAACAATATTATTATACGCACTTAAACAAGGATTAAACCGCATGCACTCTGCTCCCTTGAAAATTAAAAGGGGACTGCGCTACCTTTCTCAATGATTACTTTGTCTCAGCGCCTCTGCATCATCGTCTGCGTTACTTTCATAGTTGGTCATGCGTCTTGGTACACTTGTTCCTGCAGCAACACGCTGAAGTCACGCGTGTGTGTGTGTGTGTGTGTGTGTGTGTGGTGTGGGGGGGGGGGGGGTAGGTTCAATTTCAAGGCATGGTAACTAAAGTTTTCGATTTTCACGTTGCCTAATGTGTCCTTCTTTCTTCCTGCTTTTTCTATGAGTGCCGATCAATATCTGTCTATTAATTCATTATTATGTTTTGTCTTTTCTGTCTAGGACTCGGAAATGCGGGCACCGTAACCTTTCATGATATGGTTTCGCCCCAGCAAACATGAAATGCACCCAATCTAACAATCGTGTCACGTTTCTCTAGCTCAGTGATTTCCAGCCTGGATGCTGGTGAAAGCGGGGGGGGGGGGGGGGTGTGGGGGGGGGGGGGGGGGGGGGGGTGGCAGGCTGCCCCTAGAAAAAGAGGGGGGGGGGGCGGTGTGAACAAGAAGAAGGGGGGCGCCAGAGTCTGTAACTTCTTAGGGCCACTAAGGGTCCTAACCCGGTCCTGGCTGTAACCCCCAAACAAATCCCCCACCCCCACCCCCTAAACAACATCCATATATGATAAGGTTCGCTAAATGATTACCCAACTATGAACCTCTTCTAGCTATTGTGAGAGAAAAAAAAAAAAAACCAACGGATTATGCAGTGGTAAGTACAATAAAGGATCCTTTTCCACGTCTGCAGGCCTATTGGGCATATAGGGCTAGACCTATATTTTATAGACCGACTCACACTTGGTGGGTGATGTGGTCAAAATCACGCCGGCCGACTTTACCTCCAAGGGCTTGACCTGGTACCTATTTGAGGTTAGGTTGACTTGGAAGCCATGCTCTGTCAGGACCTGAGCCCACGACCTTCGTGTCCGCAGGCGAGTGTCTAGACTCTACACCATGACAGCCTCAAATTTGTAGAGATATTGATATTAAGATCGAACGGTCTCTCAGAAACAATACAGTAGCACTTAGAAGATGGTATGAGGAAGTAAAGGCAGAATAATAAGGATCTTGATTTGCCCGGATCTCTAGCGTAATTGGCTAAACCGGATTGCGCGGTGACCGGGTGACGAACTCCTTGTGGTCCAGGTTCACTCCCGGGGGTAGGCAGAAAAGCCACATTTCTCCCAGATTTACGGTATTTATCATGGAATCAAGGCCAAAAGGTTGCGATAAACATAATACCGAGCCTAAGGGTTAAAACTCATGGCTTCTGGATACTAAAACAAACAAACAAGGACCTTGATACAGAATTGAAATGACTGGGCAGACTTTCGGCATGAGGCCATGAAGTCCATTTCATCTGACCGCCAAAGGTGGAGGATGCTGATCAGACCGTCAACAGCAACTGGTGACCCAGCGAAACGCACTTTTATGAAACGATGACAATAAATAATTTCCACAGACAGCTGCTTGCATACCTCCTTCTCTCTTTCTGTGTGCAGGTTGACAAACACACCGATAAGTCCGGCTGCTGTCCGTGTCAGGATTGGATCATCCTCTGTGTCGCTGGGCCGGCAGTTTCAAGTCATCAACGTCATCACACATCCCTCCCACGACCCGGGAAACAAAGGTGAGCATCTTCCACGTTTTCGCACAGTACTCTGTTAAAAAAAAATTTAATAAAATAGATAGTAAGGATGGCAGTGACACTAATTTAGAATGGACAGTAATACTAACAGTAAAATTGACAGTAATAAAGACAGTAACATTGACAGTAACAATAATTGTAATATTGACATCAGACATTTTGTCATCAGACAACGCCTCATCCCTCATCTTATCACCACCCACCCTATTATCCCACGTCTTATCATCGTCTAATCTATTATCTCACATCTTATATTTGCCCATTCTATTATCAAACATCTTATCATCGCCCATCTTATTATCCCCCATGTTATTATCACCCACGTTATTATTTCCCCATCTTATCATCACCCACCATATTATCCCCATCTTATCATCACACATCTTATCGTCGCCCATCTATCAACACACATCTTATCGTGAGACATCTTATCATCACACATCTTATCGTCACGCATCTTATCGTGAGACATCTTATCGTGAGACATCTTATCATCACACATCTTATCGTCACCCATCTATCATCACACATCTTATCGTGAGACATCTTATCATCACACATCTTATCGTGAGACATCTTATCATCACACATCCTATCGTGAGACATCTTATCATCACACATCTTGTCCGCAGTCAACGACATCGCCGTGCTGACCATTGGCCAAGATCTGGTCTTCTCGGATTGCATCAAACCACTCTGTCTTCCCGAGGAGGGTTCGGATCCCAAACATGCAGATTTCTGTGTGGTGGCTGGATGGGGTGTCACAAATGGTATGTGCCCACACAGAACCTTCGTCGCCTGATCACTTGTGAATGCTTTTAAAGAAATATGACTATGCTCGCTCTATCACAGCCAGTCTATACTGTCACAAACGGTCTATTCTGTATCAACACCTGTGTAGGTTTTATCCTCAAATCTTTATCTTTGCTTTGATATTACCTGTCTACGATTTGTCACAGCCAGTCTATACTGTCATTAACTGTCTATTCGCTGCCAACACCTGCCTATGCTCATTTCAATATGTATATGCTCTGTCACAAATTATCAGTCGATACAGCACCAACCAAGTGCATGATGGGTGTATAAAATCTAGGTCAATCGCTGTATGCCCCATAGGACTGAAAAAGTGCAAAAGGGTCTTTCTGTCAACACCTGCCTATTCGCAAGCAATATATGTCTGTGTTTTCTTATTACCTGTCTATGCTCTGTCGCTTACTGCCTGTTCCATGTAATCACTGGTCAATATTCTGTCATGACCTGCCTCGAATCTGTTGCCTAATCGCCCATCCATTATAATCACCTGTAGATATTCTGTTAGTCAACAGTCTACAGACAAATTAGCCAGAACTGTAAAATTGATGTGCGTGCTAAACTCAAGACCAAAGTCGAGAAGTGGCCGAACAATAAACTCTTTCCGCCGGAGTTAACAGATGGTGAACGCGAAGAAACAGAAGAAGAGATCGCCGGGCACTCTTACCCTTTGTCTTCACGAGTCTTCCACATTGCACCCGTTGTCTTGCTGGCGGTGTAGACGGGGAACCGCTTCACTGAGCCATCTAAAGAGACACAATGCCAACGTGTCCTAATCATGACTGGCTACTAATTTGTGATATCAATGCCAGACATGGACAGTCCTAGACAAAATATAAAAGCAAAATTACAAAATGTGAGATGAGAGGTACATTAGACATGCGGCGGGATAAACAAGAAGAGACAGAGTCACCAGTCAGTGAAAAACAAAGAACAATGATAGGCACAGTACCGGTAAATGATTGAAAAGAACATCACAGAGCCTCCCCAGACCATATACACACTAGCTCAATTTTGAGTGGTAGTTGCTGAGCTCCGAGACCTTCGCACACGGTTACGGGGGTGTTACGCAATGCTGTTTATATCGCGTGTTGTATATTTCAGCACGCCAGCGCCTTTAATACTCTAAAAACAGGGAGAAACTGGGTCTAATACAACATTCCCTAGAGAGTGCTGCAACCTATGTCACAGGCGTTCCCTGTCTCGGAACGAAAACATAAATGCAAGACATCGCAGAAACCAAACAACAGAGCGGGACACACCCATAACCTTCAGAAAAGACGACCAGCCCAACAAAACTGTCAATAAAAAGTGACCTACTCTATTTGGGAAGACTAACGTCAAACTAACCGAAGAAGAATATTTCCCTATTGAATTTTGCCGAAGATGTTACTCCCAAGCCTGTCAAAAAAGGACCATTTTTCACACATTTAGACGTATTAAGCATATAGGGGTTAGACCTATATTATATAGACCAATCGGCAGTTCTGTTGACATGGCTTATTTAAAACGCTCTTTGGAAAGATTTGAAAATAGGACAAACTTAAGTCTTAGTCCTCGACTGCTCTTCTGAATTGTGACCTATTTAATTCTAATAGGCTCCATGGCTGTGAAGTTCAGGTGTTGGTCGTGTTTTCTGAAGTTAAAGAAAGACTTGTGAGATCTCCTTACAATCCCCCTGGGATAGTGGCTTGGTACATAATCGAGAAGCGCATATTTACACTAGCGTCGCTTCCATTGATGATATACTTTCAGGAACAGACTAACAAAACACATTCCCCGACCCCATATGGCTGCGTGGTCTGGATGCAAGGTGTCCGCCTCCAGTGCTAGAGGTTCCGGTTTCAATTCCCGACACAGGCTGGGATTTTATCACGTGTTCTAGTCATTCCTCCTGGTCTCTGGGTAGTGAGATCGGACGCCCGTGTGCATTGTTGCGCACGTAACAAAATCCCTTGTCAGTTGGAAATCGAAAAGAGTAGTCTAACTGCGCTGTCTGGACAACGTCTGGAGTTAAAAATCTACCCAAAGTATTTCAGGATCTTCGCCGGTGCTACAGAGCCTGTGCACTGGGCTGAGCTTCTTGGGACTTGAGTTAGAAGTAGAACGGAGCACTTATGGGTTACTGTCCGTGTGCCATGATGTTGATCGTTGTTCAAAACCTTAAGGAAATAATTCCGCGTCCCCATGTGGAGCACATTTTTTGTTATTTTCAAGCATATGAGAATAATTTCTGAAAAATGCAGAGAATACAATGTAGATCTTCACGCTTGTTTTATTGATTATAGCAAGGCATAGCAACTGTGGACTATTATGAAAAGTATGGGGTTTCCAGCGCATTTAGTGCATTTAACTGAAAATCTCTATCATGAACAACAAGCAGCCATCAGAGCAGCTGGTGAAACATCTGATTGGTTCGAGGTGCAAAAGGGGGTGAGGCAGGGGTGCATTCTCTCACCATACCTATTCAATATATACGCAGAAAATATAATGAGAAATGTCAAAAATGACCAGACTTGTGACAGTTATGGTCCGCTCAAAATTGGTGGCAACCCTATTCCGGAATTCCGCTACGCAGATGACACAGTCCTCCTTTCGAACAGCGTAAAGGGAATAGAAAATTTAATATTGTCCGCCCAAAAGCACAGTGAAGATCAAAATCTGTTCTTGAATTTAAAGAAAACGAAAATAATGTCCACAGATAAAACTGGCTGTCACCAAAAAATAATAAATGATGAAGAAATTGAAAATGTCACAAAGTTTGAATGTCTAGGCTCTGTAATAAACAACAATAGAGACTGTTCGACAGAAATTAAAAGGAGGATGGCTATAGCAATGCAAAGAGTGAACAGCCTTAAAAGTCTGTGGTTAAGCACCAGCAAGGAGATAAAAATTAGGATTTTGAGAGCATGCATCTTTCCTGTGGCTACATACGGATGTGAGTCGTGGACTATCTCTCAGTCCTTAAGAAAGAGAATAGGGGCTTTTGAGCTGAAATGCTATAGAAAGATTCTCAGAATATCATGGACAAAGAAGATGAGAAATATTGACATCTTAAAAGATCTGAACATCAAGGAAGATTGGCTAATAAACAGCATTCTTTCTCGAAAGCTGAAATATTTTGGTCATATCAAGCGCCACGTAAAAGTAAAGTAAAGATCCCTTTCCACGCCTTTGGGCGTATCGGGCATATGGGAAGAGCGTCCCATATTTTCACAGACCATAGGCACATCCTGGTACCCATTTTGGGCTGGGTCGACCTGCGACGCCCCATACTATGATAAAAATCCACGCAGCCAGCAGTGAGTTTCGATCGTGGTACGCTGGATTACGAGCCGGACTCGCAACGACTAAGCCACGGACGCCGCCCAAGCGCCACTACGGATTGGAAAAAATTATAGCAGAAGGCATGGTACCAGGAAGGAGGGGCAGGGGCCGACCGACACAAAGATGGGTACAGGATATAAGTGACTCCTTGAGTGTGAAAGTTCATGAGGCGGGAAAACTGGCGAGAGACCGAGTTTCTTACAGGCAGACTGTGATGAGAGCGACGTTCTGCAAAGGACCTGCTACATGTCACACTGGCTGTTGCCGGGGGCCCTAAAATAACCAAACGGTTGAACGGGGTTTCTGGGACCTCTCCACGGCTGATCTTCACCCGAAAGCAAATAACTAATGAAAATACCAACCGATGGATGGATCGAATAACTGACCAAACAATCAAACAACTCTCATACAAGTCAGCCACCCAACTGGCCAGCCAGACAACCATTAAATAACCAACCAGCCAGGCAATCAGCTTACCAACAATATCTAGCTCCTAGCAATTTATTTGGTTTTTATGTGATTATATGGAAACGGTCGAGGTGTAGCGGCTAGTCACTCGCCTCGGGCACGAAAGTTGTAGACTGACGAAACCTAAAATGGATACACGGTAAATGTCAAGGGAAGTAAAAGTGACAGACGTGATAGTGACCACATCTTCCATCGAATGTCAATAGGTCTACAAAATATAGGTCTACAAAATATAGGTCTACAAAATATAGGTCCACAAAATATAGGTCTACAAAATATAGGTCTACAAAATATAGGTCTACCCCTAAAAGCCCAACATGCCTAGTAATGTGAAACAGGGTCCCTTACTTTTTACTTGATTAAATCATTGTCGTTGTGCTTATAGTGACCCTTGCTGACATCTGTTTCCATCGATCTATCCTTTTCTGTCAACATTTTAGTGGCCTCTCCAAACAGCATCCCCTACCTTCAAGAGGCTGAGCTACCTATCGTGGACCAAGAGTTGTGCCAGCGACGGTACGGGTCAGACAAGGTCAACGAGCAGACGTTTTGTGCCGGTGATTATTACAGTGGAGGAATAGACTCGTGTCAGGTGGGTTCATTTAATATTATCACAGCATTCACCATAACACTCGTCGTAACACTTACTATAACAGTGGTAGTTGTTGTAGCAACAGTAGTAATTGTTGTAATAGTAGTAGAAGCAGTAATTGTAGTAGTAGTAATAGTAGTAGAAGTGGTGGTAGTAGTAATAGTAGTGGTTGTAGCAGAAGTAATAGTAGTAGTAGTAGTAGTAGTAGTAGTAGTGGTGGTGGTGGTGGTAGTAGTAACACTACTATTACTATGAGCAGCAGCATCGGCAACATAAGTAGGAGAAGAAGAAGAAAAAGACGAAAACAACGAAAAAGAAGAAAAATGAGAAGAAGACGAAAAAGAATAGGAATAATAATAATAATAATAATAATAATATTAAGATGATGATTATATAATGACAATGATGATTTAATGATGATTATGACGATGAATCAACAACAACAACAGCAGCAGCAGCAGCGGAGAGGAATAGGGCGTATAGGAAGAAGTAACAATAATGAAGAAAGACGAGAAGTAAAAAGCAAATGATAATATTAGAGAAAAATGTTACAATAAAATCACAACATTTTGCGCTGAACAGCGTCTAAAACATCTGCCTTTTTTTCAGGGAGATTCTGGCAGCCCTTTGATGTGCAAAGTTGGAGGGAGATTCATCGCTCAGGGAATTGTCTCCAACGGATTAGGATGTGCCCTGCCCACGTACCCTGGAATCTACACCCGGGTGTCACACCCCAACAATCTTAGATTTGTTAAAACCGCAATTGGAACCAGTTGATGACCGCCCGAGCTTAGATCTTGAGTCAATGTGTTCTTTATCCGACACTTTAAATTAGAGGGGCATTCACAAATATAATGACCTTTATTTTTTTTTTCGTAAAGAGTTTGTAAAGGTTTTATAATTTAATAGACTCTACATTATGTTCATTGGATGTAAACTTCGGCGTAAGGTTCTGGTTGTTCATCCACTTCTGGAGTTTGGTCTTCTTTGAACTCGATTTTAGCGTGCACATCCGCTTTAAAGATCTGTTTTTTTTTTTTGTATGCAGAATGTTGGTTCCTCTCCTTTCAGGAAGACGAGCTTCGATTTTAAGGGAAAAAAAAAAAAAAAAAAACTGCGAATGAATCGCTATTTACAACATGCCCAGTTGATAGGCAGTGGGTCTATTCTTTCCCCCCCCCCCCCCATAAAATAGGCATGCGACCTATAGGGACAACTCACAGTGTAACACATTATGTCGTAACAGTATACCGAATTTTTTTAACTTCAGTTCCGTCCTTTTATGTGACCTAAGAGCATTATGAAACAAGGACCTGAATCCTTACATGTGCACATTTGTGTCCCGTTCACGCAGCTTTTTCTCCACAACCCGAATAACATCGCTATCATTTTCCAACCTTGAGACTGTTCTTGCTACCATATGTCTATCTTCTGCGTTGTTTTTATTTGCACTGTGTTAATTGTATTTCTTTAGAATGAATTTCTATGGCAGTTAGAAGATGATAGCTCACAGTTTCAGTGGGTAAACTAGTCCAGTACAAGCTATTTTCAAGGACCTGGATAAGATATTTGATCCAAATTCTTCAGATTATGATCACTTTCAGCCACTGACAATTTATTCCTGTTTATTCTTCAACTCTCTAAACATGTCATTCAGACATTTTCTCTTACTGTGTTTTAATTACCTGTTAATCGACTCCAGTCAAGCCTTGTAGACTTGTCTCGGAGTGGCTGCATTTGCAGTTAGATGTGTCGATCGGATGAGGAGTCTTCCATAAACTCCTTGGTCATCTCTTAGGACAAGTACGTTGCTGTCGGCTGTTCATTTCCGCCTTTGCTGGTCCTGATACCACAAACGGTTGACAGTGGATATGTTCATAAATTTAAATTTAAAGTAACATAGCTCTACTTATGTATGTCGTTTAATCCCAACAGAACCATACACCACAAAGTGCCACCATTCGAATAAGGATTACCCTAACACAATTCCCAGAAACTCTGTTCAACCGATCGTTACATTAGGACCCCTAAATATAAGGACAAATTTCCTCCCATTTTAAGACGGTTTCTTTGCTGTAAACACGTTCTACAGTAAATTCAGTGTAACAACAATATGACGCAGTGCGACAGAAAATGTCTGGTGCTGACCTCAGTACAGAGTCGTCTTGTGGTGAGTGATAAAACACTCGACTTTGTAATAGGCTGCGTGCAGTCGATCTTCAGATGCCCTTCCACCCCGACCCGACACATCAAACATGTGGCTTTCATTCGACACAGTCTCGAATTTCGCCAGTATTTTATTAAGGGATTTTCTCTCCTGCCATTTGTTCCATCGATCAATGCTTTGCTACAATGAAAATAAATGAATAAATAAATAAATCGTCATACTCAACTAGCATCCTTAAGGGGGAGCTTTGGGTTATAACTATGACAAGGTTATGTGCGCCATATAAAATGACTTAGAATTGCACGCTTCCAAGAGCCATGAAAAGGACTCCTGAAGTGTTCATGCAATCAAAGGAGACACCCAAATTCTGACTGATTTTCTATCCCACCAGGACATCACACAAGCGATAAACACCCGATGACACAGTGTGCCACCGTGTGGATGAGGATCACCGTGGAGAGGACCCAGAAACCACGTTCAGCCACTAGGCTAATTTGCGGCCCCCGGCATGAGCTAGAGTAGGACTTCAAATACGAAAAATTGCATCCTAAAAAGGACGGCAAGAATAAGTAGATACCCAAATACTGTCCCGACTGGTGACGAAATCGTCTACTGTCGAGCCAATGAGCGACCCGGACGCCGATGCCAGTTGTTAATTATCCCCCTTTATATTTTAGGACTATTACCGTGTTTCCCAAAATACCCAGGGGGCTGAGTGGTCTCGAGGCATGGCTGGAGGTCCTGGGTTCAGGCCCAAGTTGAAGACTATAATTTTTTTTCACGTTGACTTCTAGTAATTTCGCCTGGTGTCTGGGTAGTAAGAACGGACGCCCGTATGTACTGCTGCGCACGTAAAAAAAAAATCCCTTGGTAGGTGAAAAGAGTAGCTTAAAGGCGCTGCCTGAGAGTTAAAAATGTACCCAAAGTATTTAAGGATCCTCACCGGTGCTAGGGAGTTTGTGCGCTGCGCTGAGATTTTTCGGAACCAGGCTTGATTTGAACGCAAAACGGAGCATATGTTGATTACTTCTCTTGTGCCATGATGTTGATCCGTTGTATAAATCATAAACCAAAATATAAGAGCACCTATTTTCAAAAAATGTAATGTGTAAAAGCAGTTTGCGTCTTATACAGTGGTAGTATATCTCTACCTAATGATTTACCAGAAAATATCTCATAGTGGGCCTCATTTTGGGAATGCCGGTTCAGGGGCGTCATAAAATGAAACATAAATTTTTAAACTAGAAGTTCTTTCCCACAATAATAGTTTATGTGGGTTTTTGCGCTGACACATTGTCGACAGGCTGGCCCATTGGCTCACCGGTAGACGACTTCGTCGCCGGTCGGGTACAGTATTTTGGTATGTCTCCTCTGATCGCATCAACACTACAGAAGTTCTTTTCAGGGTTTTTGGCGGCGTGCAATGCTAAGCAGTTTTACATGGTGCACATAACTTATGACAAAAATAATTTTGTTTTCAAGCAAAGCAAAGAACGATTGATGCTGACTGGTTACTTAATAATTTCCTGTGTCCATTAAGATTTAACCACTTGCTGCCAGCATCAACAAATCCTTTAGAGTTGAACCGATGAATGAAGTCTTCTGGGGATAGTTTGACGTCAGGTGTGTAAAGAAACCAACTATAGGACAAATTTGTACCTGGGTGAAAATATCCTGGGATAATTGGGATTGTGGGGATCACTGTCAAGTTATTTACCTTTTTGGGTCCCAAGGAACGGATCATACGTTCACAGGTTTCTACCTAAAAGCCGAATGATCGCAAGATGCGACCATTTTTCGTTTCTCTTGACTACCTCTTGGGCCTATGATGCTAAATCCCCTGGGACTCAAAAAGTTAACAAGTGTGGCATTTCAACTGCTACACGCTGAACTGAGGATGAGGAAATATAAGAAGACGTCGATTTGTCATCAGAAACAGACAAGCTAAAGAACTTTCCTATGGATGAGAGTTTTGACAGTGATAGATTTTCTGGATTCTATGATAAACACGTGAGTTCCGTAACTTTATGTAATAATATTAACCCCCCCCCCCCCCCCCCCATACAGATTTCGGTCCTAAACTTAGATTGCTTGAAGTGAAGAATAAGAGCTCTGACCAGTAAATCTTCCAGTCCATATGGTCCCTAATGTTATGTATCGTTCTTGGCGTTGTTTATTCCCTTTAGTGACAATGTCATTGAGGTCCGCGCTCTCTAAAAGACTGAAGCTACATTCTTCTTTTTACTTTTAGTCCCTGCCGTTGGTAGTCATGTCTATCCACAACCTTCTGTCTCGAGTACAGTCAATTTTGATATAGATGATCTTCTATGCAACGATGTCTGGTGTTTACTTTCTCGGTCTCCCTCTGCCTCTTTTCCCCTCCAACTTTCTCACTGTCACGATGTATTCCCGTTTTCTCAATCACATCTCATGACCAAAAAATTTAGAATTTCACTTTCTGATGTGGGAAACCAGTTCTCTTCGTGAGTCAGTTTCTTTCAAGACATCTTCATTACTCTTTAAAAAAAAAATATGTCTAGTGTGTTCTCATAATTCGTCTATGAAACCACATCTCCGCCCCTGCTTGATATTTTCAGTGAACATAATGCAATCAAGAAAGACAAACTAAGACAGAAATAACAAATATATAATTAAACTGAGGCGGGACAGTATTGTGTAAACAACATATGTACAATTTAAATCAAATGATAAATTGACATGAAATAAACAGCACTTAACCTAATGTTCACCTGAGTCGGGTAAAAGATGATATGTCTTAAATGTCTTATTTTTTGTTGTTGACGTCATGTACGTACGTGTGCGCATGCGTGTGTTTTTGGGCAAGTGTGTGCGCATGCGTGTGTCTTAATGTATGTGTGTGCGAATGCACGTGTTTTGGAGCATGTGTGTGCATGCGCACATCAGAAATCAGTGATGCTAGAATTATCAGCTGGCTACTGAAAATGAGGACTGAACACTTATTTGTATGCCCTTAATGCCGTGATGTCGGTTCCTGAGTCAGTTCAGCTGATCATACATAATGGAACATGTTTGTTGGGGGAGGGGTGGTGATTGGGGGGGGGGGGGGGGCTAACAGTGTCGTGATAACACATATATAACAGCAATGCACATATCTATAAACGGATACACATAAGCAGCTATGTCTGTCTGGAAGGAGGAGGAGGAGAAGCAGCAGCAGCAGTAGAAGAGAAAGAAGAAGAAGAAGAAGAAGAAGAAGAAGAAGAAGAAGAAGAAGAAGAAGAAGAAGAAGAAGAAGAAGAAGAAGAAGAAGAAGAAAAAGAAGAGGAAGAGGAGGAAGAAGAAGATGAAGAAGAAGAAGAGGAAGAAGAAGAAGAAGAAGAAGAAGAAGAAGAAGAAGAAGAAGAAGAAGAAGAAGAGGAAGAGGAGAAGGAAGAAGAAGAAGAAGAAGAAGAAGAAGAAGAAGAAGTTTAAAAAAAGGAAGAAAAAAATGCAGAATAAGGAGAAGAGACGAATTCCGATTGTTTGCCCTGAGAACCAACCCACCTAGCTCCAGAATCACGTCCACATTGATGCAGTCAATGAATCAACCCCCAGCTCCCATCACCGTGGGGCGTAACCCATCAACGGT